TAGAAAGAAGTTGCTGCAGCCGAGGTCAAAGAGGTTGCTGCCTTGTTCTCCTCTAGGATTTTGATGGATTCCTGTCTCACATTTAGGTCTTTCATCCATTTTGAGTTATTTTTGTGTATGGTGTAAAAAAGTGGTCTAGTTTCATTCTTCTGAATGTGGCTGTCCAATTTTCCCAATAAGTTTTGCTGAGGAGACTGTCTTCTTTCTTTTAGATATTCTTTCCTGCTTTGTCAAAGATTAGTTGACCATAGAGTTGGGTGTCCATTTCTGGGCTTTCTCTTCTGTTCCATTGATCTATGTATCTGTTTTTGTGCCAGTACCATACTGTCTTGATGATTTCAGCTTTGTAATATAGATTGAAGTACGGAATTGTGATGCTTCCTGCATTGCTTTTCTTTTTCAACATTACTTTGGCTAGTCGGGATCTTTTCTGGTTCCATACAAATTTTAGGATTGTTTGTTCCAACTCTGAAAAATGCTGATGGTATTTTGATAGGCATTGCATTGAATGTGTAGATTGCTTTGGGTAGCATAAACATTTTCACAATATTTGTTCTTCCAACCCATGAGCATGGAATGTTTTTCTATTTCTTGTGTCTTCCTCAATTTCTTTCATAAGTGTTCTATAGTTTTCAGACTACAGATCCTTTACCTCTTTGGTTAGGTTTATTCCTAGGTATCTTATGGTTTTGGGTGCAACCGTAAATGGGATCGATTCCTTGGTTTCTCTTTCTTCTGCCTCATTGTTAATGTATAGAAATGCAACTGACTTCTCTGCATTGATTTTATGTTCTGCAACTTCGCTGAATTCCTGTATCAGTTCTAGTAATTTTTTGCTGGAGTCTTTTAGGTTTACTACACAGAGTAGCAGGTCGTCTGCAAAGAGTGAGAGTTCGACTTCTTCTTTGCCAATTTGGATGCCTTTTATTTCTTTTTGTTGTCTGAGTGCTGAGGCTAGGACTTCCAGTACTATGTTGAACAACAGTGGTGACAGTGGTCATCCCTGTTGTGTTCCTGATCTTAGAGGAAAAGCTCTCAGTTTTTCCCCATTGAGGATGATATTCACTGTGGATTTTTCATATGTGGCTTTTATGATATTGAGGTATGTTCCTTCTATCCCTACATGGCAGAGTTTTTTTTATCAAGAAAGCATGCTGTATTTTGTCAATTGCTTTTTCTGCATCTATTGAGAGGATCATATGGTTCTTGTCCTTTCTTTTTATTAATGTGGTGTATCACATTGATTGATTTGCAGATGTTGAACCAACCTTGCAGCCCAGGAATAAATCCCACTTGGTCATGGTGAATAACTCTTTTAATGTACTGTTGGATCCTATTAGTTAGTATCTGGGTGAGAATTTTTGCATCCATGTTCATCAGGGATATTGGTCTGTAATTCTCCTTTTTAGTGGAGTCTTTGTCTGGTTCTGGGATCAAGGTAATGCTGGCCTCATAGAAAGAGTTTGGAAGTTTTCCTTCCATCTCTATTTTTTTAAACAGTTTCATAAGAATAGGTATTAATTCTTCTTTAAATGTTTGGTAGAATTCCACTGGGAAGCCATCCAGCCCTGGACTCTTGTTTGTTGGTAGATTTTTGATTACTGATTCAATTTCTTTCCTGGTTATGGGTCTGTTCAGATTTTCTATTTCTTTCTGTTTCAGTTTTGGTAGTTTATACATTTCTAGGAATGCATCCATTTCTTCCAAATTGCCTAATTTGTTGGCATATATTTGCTCATAATATTCTCTTATAAATGTTTGTATTTCTTCACTGTTGGTTGTGATCTCTCCTCTTTCATCCATGATTTTATTTACCTGGGTCCTTTCTCTTCTCTTTTTGATGAGTCTGGCTAGGGCTTCATGGACACCTCCATGTATTTGTATTCCTTCCAAATTTTCTCTTGTGACTGAGTTCAAGTTTTAAAGCATCATGGTCTGAAAATATTCATGGTATAATTTCAATCTTTTTGTACCAGTTGAGACCTGTGTTTCAGCCTGACTAGTTTTCAGTTCTTTTATCTCTGCAGTAAGGGATTCTCTAGTATCTTCTATACTTTTCTCAAGCCCAGCTGGTATCCTTATGATTGTTTTAAATTCTGGTTCAGGCATATTACTTATATCGTTTTGATTAGATCCCTGGCCAGGACCTCTTCCTGTTCTTTCTTTTGGGGTGAATTCCTCCATCTTGTCATTTTTCTCTCAGTCACTGTTCTTTTGTGTGCTAGGAAAGCCTGTTATATTTCCTGCTCTTGAGAGTAATGGCTATATTAAGAAGAGTTCCAATACTATCCAGGGCCTGATGCTGCTGAAAGTGTTTCAGAGTGTGCACTCTGCTATTGTGTTTTGCTTTCTCTTTCTCTCAGGTCAGTTCTCTTTGGAGTTTCTCCCTACCTGCAGTGGGGAGTGTTTGGATGTTGTCCACTGTGTGACAAGTTTTAGTTAGGTGTGTTTTGGTCTACTTGTTAAAAGAGGCTAGATCCTATTTCCCCTAGAGCTGAAGATTTGCGGCACTCTATGATCAGGAGACTTGGTGCATGCAAGGGGTTTGTGCTGGTCTTGTGGGGGAGGGGCTTGCTTCATTGGTTCTCAGGCTGACTTGCCCTAGTAAAGATGCACCTGCAGGGCACAGAGGGGCCGGGCTTGGTATAAGTGGCTCCAGTCTCCACTGTTGCTCACTGAAGTCAGTCTGTTTGCTGATGGGCAGGGTGAAAAATGGCATTGGCCTGCTCTCTAGTCCCTGGAGAGGGGAGTTTGTGCCTGCCACTGTTCAGGAAGCCCTCACAGAAGTGTGAATAATCTCCCCCTCATGCATCCCAGGCTTCTATCAGAACCTTGCCTTCACCCTGTCTATGTCCAAGATGTCTCCCTACCTGGTGGCACAGTGCTCCTTTGTTTTATCTCAGGCGAGTGGCTGGGTTTCAAAACTCCAAATTTTAGGGATCTGGTGTCGTGTGGACCTGTGCTGATCCTCTGGGGGTGGGTCTTGCTGCACCGTGGCTGATGCCAGTTTGTCCCAGAAAAGTGATTGCACTACTGTACAGGGGCTCGGAGTTTATGGTACCTTCAGCAGGTGTTTCTGTTGCCATGCTAATTAGCAGGGCTGCTCAATAGTTCCCACCATCTCTTTTGTCCCCTGAGAGGCAGTGCCACCTCTCCCAAATGCACTCCAAGAAGGGGAACGGTCTCTCCAGTGCCATCCAGAGGATCCTAAAATCACACTGTCTGCTCCCAGGCCTCTGCCCTCCACCCCCACAGGAGCACAGCAAAGCCTGGCAGGCACAATCCCCTCGATGGCATGGACTTCTAAAACTTCTGATTTTGAGCTCCACTGCTTTTAAAAACTTATGATAATCAGCCCCTCTCCTTTTCCCAGTCAATTGTTTTGGAGAAGTAGTTTTCTTGTGCAATCCCCTGTGCACTGCTTTCTCTTTTTCTTTCCCTCTCTCTCTCCATGCTCAGAGCTCCCTCCCCTTTGTAGTACCCACAAATCTTTTCTCCCCTAAATCAACTCCCTGCAGCTCCTCCCTTCCACAGTGTGGCTGTTTTTCTCCCTCTAGATGTGAGGTTTGTTCTCTCCGTCCTCAGATCGAGTTCTTAGGTGTTCAGAATGATTTGATATTTATCTAGCTGTGTTTGAGGGATGAGGCAAGCATAGGTCCCCCACTACTCCACCATTTTAACTCCTTCTAGCTCTTTTTTACTTTCTTACTTCCCTAACTATCCCATTTCTAAACTGATTTAGGAAGGAGGAGAATGCCTCTCAATTCAATTATTATACATATCAAATTTTTCCCCAAGGTCTGCTTTGGGAGAAACTAATCTAATTCTCTAGTGCCCCATTCTCTTGTTTTGTTCTGACTTATATGGTTGTTCCTTTTGAGTCTTTTCCTCCTATTTGAGCTCTCAATATTGACACTCACCCGAATTTAATCTTGGCCCCATTTTATCCCATGTTATTCCAACTACTGTACTTTATCCATCACTGCAGTTTTAAATATCTATAAGCAATGATTCCAAAATTTACATCTAGAGTCCAAACTTATCTACTGAGATCCTACGGGTATATTCCACCGCCTTCTTGACATCCTAGGTATGTTACATGTTATATGCCCTGAAGCAAATACTTGAGCCCACCTCTTTCTCTTCCTTCCAAATCTTCTTTTCTCAGTTTACTATTCTGTGAATAGTGAGCACCACTAATCTTCCCTATCTCAACAGAAATATAATAATGCACTTTGATTCCTCCATCTTCCTCTGACCTTATATCCAAGCAACCAATGTCTTAAATCAGTCCTCTTCTTTCCACAGCTCTTGAAGCCCAGTTCCAGCCACCATTATGTCTTACCTAGCCAATGCTTCTAACATGCCTTCCTGATTCTATTATTTCTTTTCCCTAATCTAATTTCCACATAAAATCCAAACTAACGATCTAAATCATAAATTAGGTCAGACTGTGTTTTGAAATAAAAATGCTTAATAATGGCCTAATCTGAGTGGGGGATGGCATTGCCATTTCAAGCTCATTTCATCTCTTTCTCCTTTGCTCTTTGCACATTACACTTCAGACTCAATCAGCCTTCTCCAGATATCTTCTCCAGATACACAATGCAGCTTCTCCGCAGTGAGAGTGACCATTTGCTGGTCTTTTCCTGAAACAATCTCTGCCTCCTGTGTACCTGGCTGGCTCCTTCCATCCTTCTTGCCTTGGCTTAAATATCAGCTCTACATAGGTCTCCCTCTCTGTCTCTTTTTCTTCCTCCTCCTCCTTCCTTCTTCTGCTTTCCTTCTTTCTCTCTCTCCCCACCCCCCCCCATTTCCTTGATGGCATATGACACAATATTTAATATACAGTTTCAGTTTTCTCTTTTGTCCCCCAATGGCTTGTAGTATTTATCATATTAGTCTAGATGGGAGTAGCAATAGTTGTCAAAATTTTGAATTAATGCTTACCACATTGTTGCTAGAGTCAAAAACTTGACCTACTCGTTTATTCCCTGCAGCTGGCTGGAAAGTTGAAAGATGCTGGAAGAATAATATAGGACACTGCAGAAAACGATGCTTTCATGTTGAGAGGTACAAGCTTCTTTGTATGAACAAGCTAACATGCTGCATTCCCATAAAAGAAGATCACGGATACACTAAAATACCACCACGTCTTATACCCTTTGAAGAAGAGATAACTACTGATATTAATACTTGGGAATTTTTTTCAAATTCCCCTGCTTCTTTTTTGAATGATGAGTTCATACCTGACTCAACCAAACCCACAGAAAGCCTAGTAACTGAGACCTAAGAGAAGTTTCTTCCCAAGCTTTGGCACATCCTCTTGAGACCATTAATGGTACAACTAATTAACATTTCATCTGGGTATGGGACACTAGAGATAAGCACTGGGAGTAGTATCCAGGGAGCCAATTCTATTGATGTTATTTCCCCAGGGACAATTCTACTGGGGATTGGATGGCATGTAGATGGACATATGTTATTGCCAAGATAATCACCAAGAGTGGAAATGTGTAAAGGGAAGTGCATAAGAAGATACAGGAGTTCTCTTTATTGGGCTGAAATTCTTTATCTGTCTTCCCCCGATGTATTAAAATATATTGGTCTCAAGAGAACATCTGTGTCTGTGTATTTTTCCTTACCAGAAAACAAAAATAAAAACAAAACAAAATGAAGACGACAGTTTCGAGCTGCCTTTATGGTTGAGACAAGGATTTTGACTTTAATAATGCCTGAACCACTACTATCATATACAGAGGAACCTATGAAGGTACAGAAAAAGTTTCAGACAAGTCCCTTTCCCACACTCGCCACCCCTTTTATTGTAAGTTAAGAGTTTAAATCCCTATCTGTATCATTAGGCCAATTTTTGTTTAAGACTTCAACTAGAAACTAATCAACTAGAAACTTCAACTAGAAACTAGAAACTAATCCAGTTATAGTTAGAAACCACTTCATTCTCCACAAATATTGATTTAACTAGATAGAGATGGTAGTTAGAAACCACCTCATTCTGCACAAATACTAATTTAACTAGAGATGAGAGTGGGACTTGCCTTGAGAGCATCATATGAAATTAAAAGGTGCATCACAAATTCTACTTATCTTTCCAATGAAAAGTCCAACTTCCCACTATAGTGATCTCACATCATGCCTCTCCAGATCTTCATCTTGTCCACAAATGCTTGTTGTATGTAGGGTTTCTATGCTTTGTGTGTCTAGATACATGTGAGTGTTGTTTGGTGACTGATGAGTCAGTGAGTTAACTCTGATATCACAGAAATGCAGTTATTAACTATAAAGTTGATTAATTGTTAATGTATTGGCTAAGTCTGGGGTGCTACTGAAAGCCACAGTCTCAAGTGCATAAATGTCTCAGAATCAAGAAGGCTTTTTCCTCTAATTCTTTTTATTTTATCTAAGTCAAGTTGCCAGTGACTGTAACTGCAGTTTGGATATTGGCCATCAGATCACTGACCTTTCAAGGGACCTCTATTCCAGTAGATCATAGACCCCCTGTTAGGTTGACAAACCATCTTTGTTTGGGACTGAAGGTTTTCCCAGAATACAAGAATTAGAGTGCCAATATCAAGAAAGTCTTTAGCAAACTGGAACAAACTGATCACCTTCTCTCTGCCTAAATTTCTCTTCTCTATTTCTTTGCATAGCTGACACCTAAATCACAAAGGTCATGTGTTGACTCTTCACAGAGGCATCCTTTCACTATGAAGGCCTCCCTAGACCACCAGGCTGCCTCAGCCTACTCTTTTTCCACATCTTTGCTTCAAATATCATCTCCTTAGAAACAATCCTTGGCAATGAGACCATTCCTCACGACTCTGTATTATTTTCTTCCTATCACTTAAGTCCTTTGAAATTATTTTGCATATTTCTTCATCCTCCTACTGAATTATTGAGTTATTTACTTATTTATGGACTATCATCATGACCATAATGTCCATATAGTCCTAACACCTTGATCTTATTCTTGGCTGTGTCTCAAGCTGCTAGACCAGTGTCTTGCACATCGCAAACACTCAATATAAACTTGAGAACATATGGTTCATGCAATCATCTCAATAAATATTAGAAAGTCACACAATATAAACCAGTAGTCTTCAAACTGGGATACCAGCCTCAAAAAGGTTTTCCAAGGTGTACACATTGAGAATTTAAGGGAATCCATTTTTAGACCCTCGATTTCTGAATGTCTTATCATGCTCAGAACATTCTTAACAGGCTCTTCTTTTCTACCTCCACTTTCTCATTTTCTCTTCTTCCACTTTGAAAAGAAAATGTACTTCTCACCCGTCCTTTATTTGACAGTCATGGATTGCCCAGAATGGACAAACTTCCAGGTGTCAAATCAGTAGATAATTGAAATACTGCTGCTGGTGTTCAGAAGGTGAGTAATCATAGACTTTGGGTAATAAATCCTTTGGAAATCCAAGCGACTGAAAATTTTTTGTTTACCAAAACAATGACACCAGAAAGAATCAAGCTAATGGTGGATAAAGCTTTGAAATTAAGCTTTTCTGAAGCTTAATAATAGCTTACTAAGGAATTTTTGGCATATAATTTGTAAGGAGTTGAAAAAACTGTGTGATCTCTCTATCTATATCTATCTATCTATCTATCTATCTATCTATCTAATGCCTAATCTTCCAACTTTCACATCTACCTATTGATGTGAGTTTCAGTGTTTACATTTTTCAAAGTAAAACATGGAAAAAAGTTGATGCTGATCTTCATCTCACTCCAGTAAAAAGAAATATTCATCTATGTATTCATAAACTAATAGAAAGAAAGTACCATCTGTTTACTAAAGATATGCATTTGTAGTAAAACAAAAAGTTATTTTTGGTTAATAATTATTTTTCATGTTTGATAACACACTTATGCATCTTTAATCAATTTTGTTCCAAATATTGCAATGATGACTTAATCTTGAATATGTTGTTAAAAATGTAGAGCTTTAGGGCACCTGGGTGACTCAGTTGGTTAGGCATCTGCCGCCGGCCCAGCTCATGATCTCAGGGTCCTGGGATCAAGCCCCTGCTGAGCAGGGAGCCTAGTTCTCCCTCTCTGCCCCTCCCTCTGGCTTGTGCTAGCACTCTCTCTCTCTCTCTTTCAAACAAATAAATAAAATCTTTAAAAACGTGATGAGCACTGGGTGTTATACTCAACTAATGAATCGTTGAACACTACATTAAAAACTAATGATGTACTGTATGTTGGCTAACTGAACATAATAAAAAAATAATATGTGAAAATGCAAAAAAAACCCAAAATCTTAAAAAAATTTAGGGTTTTATGTTCATCGAGATTTTATAATAAATTACAATATATATCCATGTTTTGTGAGGAGAGTGGAATAAAAACTTAAACTCGTGGAATAAAAGCTTTAGAGGAAAAAATGATGTAATGCTTCTAATTGCTTTAAAAAGCTTTTTTGTATATTCATTAAATGGATAATTGTCATTGTTATGTATTCAGACTGAATTAAAAAATTAAATTATAATTTTACATGTCAATGTTTATAATACACCAACAATCATATCTTTTTATTATATACACTTACGATGTAATATCTTATTTTCCAATTTTAAGTTGTGTTAGGAAAACTGCACCCTCAAAATTCAAAAAAGTTTGGAGGTCACTCCTAAAACTTGATATAAGGCTTCAAACGTTACCTGGTACAGAGTGATGATGATTCTTTCACTACATCAATCATTCAGTTTTTCTAAACTTCCTAGATATTCCATTTTCATGAATATAGGTTTTCTTCATCATTCATCATAATAACTTTTGTTTTCTTTTTATCTTTGTCCTTAAGGATTCCCTGTAGCTCAATAACCCATCACTTCCCTATATGGGAATTTACCTCCAAATTGCTGCTATCTTCATATATAAACATAATATTTGCATTTGGTTCCTTTTTGTACCATTTCCAGCTCCAGTCTGAAATTCCCCATCTCTTGAGCTTATGCTGTCCATGTTACATATATGATTTGGTATGTTAGATATATGATATATATTTCCTCCATTCTCTGGGTTTCTTTTTCATCTCACTGATAGTGTCTTAAAATATAACACTTTTGGGAGTGCCTAGGTGGCCCAGTCAGTTGAGTGTCCGACTCTTCCTTTCAGCTCAGGTTGTGGGATCAAGCCCTATGCTGGGCTCCACAGTCAGCAGGGAGTCTGCTTGGGATTCTTTCTCTCTCCCTCTGCCCCTCCCCACCTCTAAAAGAAATAAAAGATTCTTAAAAACGTAAAATATAACAGTTTTTATCTGCTTTGGGGGCCATATCTAGGAAACTATTGCCCAGCTCAAGGTCATGAAGATTTACTCCTGTGTTTTCTTCTGAGTGTTTTATGGTTTCAGCACTTACATTTAACTATTTGATCCACTTTAATTTATTTTTTTGTATGATGTCTGTTAGGTCCATTTGATCTAAAGCATGGTTCAATTCCAATTTTTTAAATTGATTTTCTGTCTCAATGACCTATCCATTGCTGAAAATGGGGTACTGAAGTGTCCTATTGTTGTAATCTTGTCTAAATCTTCTTTCTGATGTATTAGTATTTGTTTAATACATTCAGGTGCTCCAATGTTGGTTGTATATATATTTACAATTGTCATATCTTCTTGATGTATTGACATCGTTATCATTATATAATGGCCTTCTGTGTCTCTTGTTACCATTTTTGGCTTACAGCCTACACTCACACTTTCCTTTGGTTTCTGCTTGCATGAAATAATCCCCTCACTTTGAGCACATGTGTGTTCTTAAACCTGAAGTGGGTCTCTTGTAGGCAGCATATAGTTGGCTCTGTTTTTTTTTAAATAGCCATTTAGGCACTTTGTGCCTTTTGATTGGTGAATTAAATCCATTTATCTTTGGAGTAATTGTTGATATGTAAGAACTTACTAATGCATCCTATTGATTGCTTTCTGGTTCTTTTATATTTCCATTGCTCCTTTTTTCCTCTGTTTCTGACTACTCTTGTAAACTGATGATTTTCCATGGTGGGATGCTCTGTTCTCCCCCTTCTCCCTCCTTTTTTTTATCCTTCATGAACCTACTTTAGATGTTTATTTTGTGGTTATCTTGAGGCTTACATAAAACATCTCAGAGACAAAACAGTCCATTTTATGCTGAAAGCAACTTAATCTTCATTCACCTATAAGTCTCCTCCCCTTTTATATTTTTGATGTCACAATTTACCTCTTTTATGCTGTCAATTCATTAAAAATTATAGTAACTATAGTTATTTTTTAATTTATTA